GTTGCTGCTGAGGAGGGGCGCCAACGGGCAAGCAACGAACTGCCTCATCCGCAGGTAGCGACTGCTGCTGCTGCAGTGCCAACATCAGCGGCAGCAGGAGGTTCTCGAGCAGGCAACAGCAGCAGCAGCTATATGAGAGCTCAGCAGCAGCAACAGCAGCAGCAGCAGCAGCAAGCGGATTCAGACGAGGAGTACATCGTTGATCTGTCTGGCTGCATCCCCCGACCTCTTCCTTCGCGTCTTCCGCCTCCTCTTGGCTGTTCCTATGAAAACCACAAGCGTTTTCTTTCTCTTGTCAGAAGGTGTGTTGCTGTTCCTGCTGCTGCTGCTGCTGCTGCTGCTGCTTTTGCTGTTGCTGTCGGCGTTGTTGCCTGGTGCGGGAAGGGAAGGGAAACGGGGGAGAGCTGTTGCTGCTGCAACTGCTACTGCCACCTGCTGCTGCTTAGATATGCTGCGTCTGTTGTTGTCAGCATCTGCTGCTGCTGCCGCATGCATATGGTGCTGCAGCTTCGGCCCATATATACTGTTGCTGATGCATATATATACATATATGCTGCTGTTGCTGCGTACAAATTCTGCTGCTGCTGCTGCTGTTGCCGTTTGTTGCAGCCGGCGTACCCTTGGGCAGCAGTGGCGCATCTCCGTGCTGGAGCTGCAGCAGCGGCAGACTGAGCATTTGCTGCAGCGCATTGATGTCAGTACCTCCTGCCGCCGCTACTACGACTGCTGCTGCTACTGCTGCTGTTGCTGCTACTCCTGTTGCTGTTGCTGCTACTCCTGCTGTCGGTGCTGCTGCTGGCGCTGCTAGGTGCTTATGCTGCTGCAGTGTCAGCTACCCCCTGCTAGATCAGGCGCCTTCAGGTGCAGCAGCTGTTGATGCTGTTGATGTTGCTGCTGCAATGTATATTCTGTACATATGCCGTTGCGTGTTACGTTTGCTGCAGCACGCTGCTGCTGCGTTGGCGGAGCTCGAGGTGCTGCGACAGCTGCTCTCGTCTAAGCAAGCTCCAGGAGGTACGGGCCTGCTGCTGCTTCCGCTGCTGCTGCTGCTGATGGCTTGCTGTTGCTACTGATGCTTGTGGTGGTTGACGCAGTGTTGTTTGTTGTTGCTGTATTTGTGGTGCAACAGGAGGGGTGAAAGCTGTGGACGAGGGCGTGCGTGGTGGGGAAGCAGCAGGCGCAGCAGCAGCAGCAGCGGCAGCAATTTAATAACGCTTTATTAGCGGTTGCTGCTGCTGCAGCAATGGCGGCAGCAGCAGCAGTGGCTGCTGCTGCACCGCGTGCATGGAGCAGCAGCCGCTGCTGCCCAGATACTNGGCGGCAGCAGCAGCAGTGGCTGCTGCTGCACCGCGTGCATGGAGCAGCAGCCGCTGCTGCCCAGATACTGCACTTTTGATTTGACGCTGGAGGCGCGACTGCTTTGTTGCTGCGGCGACGCATTTGCGGCAGACACCATCCGTAGCAGCAGCAGCAAGCTAGCTGCCGGAGCAGCAGCAGAACTGCAGCAGTTGGGGCTGTTCCTTTAGCGGCTGCCGTGGAGCAGCTTCGCAGCAGCAGCAGCAGCCGACTCTGCTGCTGCTGCTCTGCATCTGTTGCGGCCCCATGTTGACTTGGCGAGCCCAAGCAGCGCCAGGCGAGCGGTGCGGTGTACGTACAGCCTGGCGATTATAGCAGCAGCAGCAGCAGCAGCAGCAGTCCGCCTTTGTGGCGGTTTGCAGGAGCGTGTTGCGGCTGTGCTTTAGTTTTGATGCCAATGCTTCTGCGAGTCTGTTAACCTCTTTTCGTTTATTTTGGGGATTCCTCTGCAGTTTGTTTGTTCTCCTTGACTTCCAGGTGTACATGCAGCCCTTGAGGCGCACACGCAGTTCTTCGGGTGTACTTGCAGCTCTCCAGGTGTACACGCATTTACTCAGGGGTGCGTGCAGCTCTTCAGGTGTACACATAGTACAAGCAGCACAGTTCATGCNTACACGCATTTACTCAGGGGTGCGTGCAGCTCTTCAGGTGTACACATAGTACAAGCAGCACAGTTCATGCAGTAGCACCTCGCCTTCCGATACACTGCAGCGTAGGGGCTGTTGTTGCTGCTGTTTCCGCAGCGGCAGCGGCTGCTGCAGCTGCGGCAAACGCAGCATCACATTTAGTACCGCTCCAGCTGCTCTGGGTAGTATTAGGATCTCGGGGCGGAGGGTTTGCCGCTTCTGCTGGTTCACGGTGTTCGCCGCTGCCGCTGTGTTTTAGGGTTGAGGGTTTAGGGTCTGTGTGGGTGCTGTTACGACTGTCGGGGAAGCACAACTCTGGAGGGCTCCACGTCCTCCAGTTGCGTATACAGCTTAAGATACGAGTACAGAGAAAGCCACATATACAGCGGAAACAGCAGCAGCAGAAAACGCAGCAGCAGCAGCAGCAGCAGCAGTAGCCAGACACCACGCAGCAGTTCTCTTTAGGACTCCCTTCTTCTGTCTCTGTTAATAGTTAATACTTCTCAACTAATTGATGCAATTAAAGTAATTAATACAACCAAAGGAATCAAAAAATATAACTAATCAGTCAATTACTTTAGGGTTCAGTGCAATTAACTTTTTTTCGCTGTTTTTCTCTCTCTGGTATTTGTCTACAGCCCCGAGGGAGCGCTGGGGCCCCCTTCTCCCGTTTCCGTTGCCTCCGGTGTTTCTCACCGAATATAAATTGTTGTTGACTGTAGTTAAATTATTTTTAACTATTCAATCCGAAGCAGAATGAGGACTTATCTCATCCCCTAAGGCACAGCAAATGCCTGGGGGGGTACGGGGGCCCCCATGGGCCCCCCGAGGCCTCTTGTGTGTGGTGTTGTTGTTGTGTTTAATTCTCATCAATTTACTAAATAATAATGAAGATAATAAAGCTTCCGCTGTCCGGTTGATGCCGCGTACGCTGAGGTGTACGTACACCGCAGCAGCGGCTTCAGCGCCTCACGCTGTTACTGCCGGGTTCATATCTCATCATTGTGCCGTCGCATCGTCTTCTCCTCGCACCAACACCAACCACGCTGTCTCAGCTATCTTCCCGGCTGCTCCTGATGCTGCTGCTCTTCCTGGTGCTCCCCCTGCCGCTACTGCTGCTGCAGGTGGCAGTCCACGAGAGGCAGCCTCTGCAGCAGCACTTCGCCTGCAACCATCTGGCGCTGTGGGGTCGTCAGCATCAACAGTAGTGGCAACAGCACCAACAACACCACCTGCACCAACAACCCCAGCACCGACAACCCCAGCAGCAGCAACACCAGCAACATCACCAGGGGCAGCAACAGCAACAACAGCAGCAACAGCAGCAGCAGCAACAGCAGCAGAAGCAACGGCAGCAGCAGCAACAGACGAGGAGTTGGTAGCTGTAATACAAATCGTGCATGCGCCCCGACATGCTGTTGTTGCTACCCTAACCCAGGAGGCGCTGCAGTGTTTGTTGTGGGGCGCAAACAGCGACGTACAGAAGACATACGAACACTGTACCCCGCAACAGCTACAACAGCAACAGCAAAAGCGGCAGCAACAACAACACGACGAGCTGCAGCAGCAACAACAGCAACACGAGCTACGGCAACAGCAGCAACCGCACCAAGAGCTGCAACAGCAGCAACAGCAACACCACGAGCTGCAGCAGCAACAAGTGCATCCGCAGGTACTGCAGGCGCTGGAGGAAGGAGCAGTGGAGGTTCGGGTATTCTTTGAAACCCGCGGTAGTGGTGGTTTCCTCAGCAGCAGCAGCAGCAGCAGCAGCGGCAGCAGCAGGAGAGAAGAGAGAGGACGCGTGTTGGTGTGGTCT